ACATGTAGTACCTATATAATGTAGTATCAAATCAATTGGACTTGCGGTTTTTAACAAGAAGTCGAAAATATCACTTTTTACCAAAAATGACAAAAATATTCACCAAAATTAGAGAATTGAAGATATCAACATGAAATGAACAAACCTAAGAGAGGTCTACCCAAGGTACATATACACCAAGTATCAAAGCATTCAGGCTTGTAGTTTTCAAGAAGAAGTCGAAAAAGTAAAACATTGACACGGACGACGACGACGGATGACGACGACGGACAATCACTCATATGATAAGCTTCGCTCGACAAAGTCGACAGCGGAGCTAAAAACCAGTGTTTATGTGGCAAGAAATTTGTTGACATCAATATTTGTAAAAGGCTGTCATGACCATATAAGGATATGACAGAACTCAAAACTTGTCTAGTGCACATGTCACACATTGATGTAACACAGTGGAATATACTCACCAGTGATAAGCAATAAGTGTGAGTAGATTCCTAAGCGGCCACCCAGGATAACCCTCCACAGTACTTGGATCACAAAACCCAACCATGATCTGAAAACGCAAGTAAATTCATAAATAGGCATAAATAATTATTTTTAACGAAAAACGACACCCAATCAATTTACATACAGATTTTTTTTTGGGGGGGGGGGGTGATTCAATACTCATTATGTCATGCATAGCATTATCTACCCTAATACAGTGATGTTAACAATATAATAAAATATTTCTCGAATAATGAATATGATTATTTCTGAATTTTCCTTTCAGATCTCACCTTTTTCTCTTTGCAGATATCTTGGAAGTTTGCCAAGTTTGAAAGCTTGACAACATCTCCATCAATTTGAATAAAAAAACAGCTTGCATGCTGGGATGTCCTGACAAACTCATCGTATGCACTCTGTAAATTCGTGATCTACATAAGACGAAAGATTTGAAAATTGTGAATATTGAGCAATTTTTTGTCATTCTTTTGTTGTTTCGGCAAGTTTTGTTTCTCATTCAGTCTATTTTTCAACTGGATGTCCTGTATGTAAATTTCAATTGTGAGATAAAATGAGATTTTCTAGAAATAAATAAGACTGCACACGCTTGTGATTGTTTACGTACATGTCATTAACTGGTGGATTGTCAACATTACCCTGGGTATTGACGCTGCCTACAGCTGCTAGAAATTGTGCAATACATGGATCCCTTTCAGTTAGCCCCAAAGTATTTGGCTTAGGAATTGTAAGAATTGAGGTGCTAACAATGTACAAGATCTGGCCACCCTCTGAGTACATTATATTACATGATGTATGTAAGGAGTCAAGGGCCTCATTATTTTAACAGCTTATTTGTTTTCAAAGCATGGCTTTGACATCTCTATAGATAAACAATCCATCGATCCTAGACCAAATTATTCTGCTACACATACACTCAATAGCCTGGAGTACCCCATAGGAATGCCTACCTAAAGAGTACTCATGGAATATTTTATTATATTTAACTAATTCTTTCAATCAAACTTTATATACTTGAAAGTCTGTACAAATTCTCAAGTACTTTACCGGTATTTTCGCATGAAATGTAATTTCCGATATTTGCTGAAGGGATGATTCAGGAAAAATAAAATCTAAGGAATATACCTTTTTTCCTATATTTTACATTCACAGCATCAAAAATCAGTGGAAATAAATCACATACAGAACACTCAAAAGTCAAAAGGTTAAATTAATTCCAGCTAAAATTATTTTACAGTATTTCACAGCCGAAAAACAAAATGGTCACTGTGGATTTCGAGTTACAGTATTCAAATCTTCAAGAAGTGTGTCCTTTGGTGCCCCAAAATGGAAATGTTACAGAATTCTATATTTTGTCTCTCGTACAGTATATTCTCCAAAATAGAAGGCCCACTGCATCTCCTTCAACTTCTGAGCTCTAAAATATACCTTTGTCACATTCCACAAAATAAACACATATAATTTTTTTCAAAAAATGTGGAGCAAGACCTGTCACCAATATTAAAATATGGCTATTTAGCACAAAAAGAAGAAAGAAGTTATAGAAAAATACATACAAATTCAAAAAAAAAAATTGCTCAAAATTTATGCGAGAAAAGTGCTCAAAAAAAAAAAATATTATTTCAAACATTTTTTGTTCATCAAAATATCAGTTTCAGTGACTTGGATAAAGTCAATCACCCACCTCCACTCACTGTGATTGGCTACAAAAGTTATTTCTTAAAATGCAATAGCGAGTATAACATTTACAATATATGTAATCAGTGAATTTGTAACTAGGTACATTTCATCAGAATAATAATCGTCATGACTACAGTGTTATATTTACCTGCTGTGGGTTGAAACACTTGTCTATGGTTTGTGACGGCTGCGTTTGTACAACATTGTTTGGTGAAAGCAAAGCTGGGAATGCAAACCAGTA